CAACAAAGTTCTAAAAGGAGAAATTCCATGGTCATTAGAGTTGCGGCCAGAAGCCAAGAATTTTAAGACATTTTTTGTTCATACGGTAAGTTTCTTTCTTGGATTTCTTTGTAAAATGTACTAAGGTCCTTGGGCTGCTAATTTAAGTTGTTATCAAATAGATTTCTCTGGAGAAAATATAATTACTTAAATACAAGGGTTGATAGTCTTAATTTAAAACAAAACAAAAACCTGAACAAAACCAACCAACCAAAAAAAAGCACAAAACCAATTCCCCCATACAAAATCAAATAATAATAAAAGAAACCCCACACAAAACCCCACCCTGACATACACATTTATCACAAAAATACAACTGTATTTTTATTGCTGTTTAAATAAACTATATGTGGATTTGGGGATTTGAAGGAAGCTCTTAAGAAGGACTTTGAAAATTTAGCCCTCTTTGTATGTAGTAAATTATGAGAAGTATACCAATAATATATTTACTGCTTAACAATGTATGGTTATTCAGTAATATATAATATTATATAGCTGTAATTCAGTTCAACTTTTAGAAATTTTATGAACTAATTCTGAATAATTATTTTATTGCTTAAACCGTGTTTGGAGTAATCATTAAAATGTTGTTCACTTATAGCCAAACAGGACATATTACCTGATGGACCCAAGTGGGAATGCTCATAAATGGTGCAAAAAGATACATGAAGTTTGGCGGAACAGATACCACCAGAATGCTGCAAAATAGTAAAGCTCATCGAAAATTTCCCAGTTTCCCTACTTGCTGCTAGAACTCCATGTGCAGCCGATCAGAGGAATCTTTTCAACCCACCTATTACCATCTCAAGGGGAAGCATATGTTCGAAATGTTCTCTTTTTTTTTTTTTTTAAGAAAGAAAAAAAAGGAAGAAAAGCAAAAACCTAATGGAATTCAGGGTTGCTTTGCTCGCTCTTTGTGCTTATTTTGAGGCTTCCACATGCATATCATTGCAGTGAAGATCTTGCTTTTGTGCACTTCAGCTCAGTTTCTGCTGCAGACTAGTGGATAGACCTTGCATTACCAGCTTCACTTAAGATGAGTTAAAACCAATCCACACGCACACATGCCGAATCATGTACCAGCCTTGCATTTCATGGGGCTGGAGTTTTCTGTGACTCTCAGATTATCATTAAACTGTATTTCATCAGGGAGCTTTTATATGCCTCTCCTAAGCACCACCTCTTTGTTTTCTCTTCCTTTCCTCACAGTCCCCCAGCTTATTGGTATATGGCATTTATAGCCAGGTCAGTTGCACCCTTGTGTAATTCCTAATATAGTTCTGGTTGCAGGATTTACGTGGTACTTTAGTAATTACGTGAATGAATCAGATGTGTGTGTCTGGCAGACAGGCTCCAATGATAAAGGTTTTGAGAGAGTAAAATGCTGAACGTGGCACTGAAAGTTTCCTAAAATTGAAATGTTGGCTTCTGAAGCATATAAGATTTTAAACATTCAGTTTAAATTTTAATATGAATCATGTGTGTTTAATCAAGGGACGATAAACTTACCAGCATGCTTTTAACTAATGCTAACTAAAAAAGAAGTTAGTTAGTATGGGGGGAAAAGGTTACTGTTGAAGTAGTAAATAGTTTTTCACCTTTTCAGCAGATGAGAGTTAGAAGCTTTCTTTCCAGGGTGTGCATGTTTTGTGCGTTTTAGTGGGGCCAACCTATTTACTTGAGTAGAGAAGGAAGTGTGAAAGCTTTGTACAATTGATTACTTGACTTTTTTTGTCTCATTGTATAATGAGTTGTCAAATAATCCTATTTTTGGTCCTTGGCCAAATATTCAGGAACTCTAGAAAAAAATGTAAGCAATTGAAATATTAGATAATAAAGTAATCTGGTTAGAAAATCAAAAGAAAATATTCATACAAAGGGGAAAATATATGGTACTTAAAGCATATCTATAAAATGAAAATATTTTTCATATCGATCTCCTTTATCCTCTTTAAATTAAGGCTTTTTTGTGGTCAGACATTTCTCATGGTGTTGCAAAGACACAACTTTGTGTGCTAAAACCAACTCCCTTAATGGTATTTTCAACATGCCTATGTTCCTGAACCTTGCAGAGAGGAATGACCAAGGTTTGGACAAAGGCATTCCTCCTTTGTTTAAAAAGCAGTATAAACATCACACCTATTTATTCATTTTCCACGCATACCATCTCTTTGAATTTTGAGTTGTCATACTATGATATGCTTTTCCTTCCACCAAAGAAAGGTTTCACTACAATGTTGAAAAATCTCATGGGGTACTGTTCTAGAAGCAGTATTTTAAAAGCAGTGGCTTATTGGGATTTCTCTGAAAACACATACACGTTGAATATTTTCTCATACAGGGTGAAGGAGATTTATTATTGATCTCTTAAAATTGTATTATGTGGTTGAACTTGATGGCAGTTCAACTTTTCCAGTATCTTTCACTCTTTAAAAGAGACAGTGCAGTTGCCTTTTCTTTTGGAGGAACTGCATTCTGGTAGTTTTCTGTATCCCACCATGTCTGCAGACCTGAGAGAAGTAAATCCCTGGCTTACAGTGCCTGGTGTTAAGGGAGTGAAGGTGTCCTGTAAATGGCTGAGATGAGGAAGAGAGAACAGCATTCCCTTTGCATCATGAGCAGTTTCATCACATGCGAAGTACACTCCCTGTCACTCAAATTTGAATAGCACAATGCACCTCTGATCTGTGTCTGCATTAAGCTATATTTGCCATTCTAACCAAGATGACAGGTATTTTAAGTTTGTTGCAGTGCTATCCATTTGTTCTCCGGCTGTCAAATTCCAGCCATATGTTGTGTCCACTGGAGGCAACTCTACCACTTCTGGATTTAGGCTCTGGTATAGAGATGTAGACGTATTCCCAACTTTATACAGGAGAGTTTGGCAGTAATGGAGATTCATGGTGCCACTGCTGTGCAGTGTGACAAACCTTGGTCTCACACAAAAGTCTGGCAAAATGATCTCCATTGGTTTGTTCACTAGGTGGAAATCAAACTATGCTTAACCATGTTTTCTGTAATATTTAGACTTTTAGTCGTTTTGCCATAACAAAGCAATTACTATGCTTTTTCACACCTTGAAAATCCTCTCTCAGTAGATTTCTGTCCTGCCCACCAAAAGCTTTCAGCCAGCCAGATCTTGGTAGCAGGAAGCTGTCAAGAAGGCTGATGTCTGCATTCTAGAATTCCTTTTTTTAATTGACAGTGCTGTCATTAGAAAACTGTGAGCATCTCATACAGGCATCCCTCCACTTAGAGCTTCAGTGTTCCTAATCCAGTCTTACTTAGCTGTTGGTTTTTTGAGAAGGATCTGGAATTTTTTCTGGGAGAGGTCTTTGTATTTCTTGTACTGTAAGTGAAATCTCTGGTTTTGAAAGGTGGCAGAAGAACAGTGAGGCAACACAAAGCAATTGTGGGTTCAAGTATGTTTTACCAGTTTGTCCACTTAAATGTGTATTGACAGGTGCTCCATACTATGACGGGCTGGCTCCCATTTTAAATGCTTATACCTGGGGTAGGTTCAAATCTTTGTCCTGAAGATCACTCCTATGGTTCATGGAAGTTCATGGAATGAAATGTACGTGGGAGGTTCTTCAGAGCTGCAGATAAGCCAGGTGATTTTTCTGCTTTTAATCCAAGGTTTTCAAAGCATAAAAAAAAAAGTTGTTAATCACTAGAAGACTCTTCTTAAGACTCTTCCTGACTGCAAACCTACAGAAAACCCAATCTATTGGTTCATTCCATCTTTTGCAATTTGAACAATTGCCAATCATTTATGAAGAATCTGGTCAATAGTATTGTAATTTTTCATTGCTGGGGATTTGAATTTCAGAAAGGTGTCTATTGCATCAGTTTTCTGTGTTGTGGAGCTTAAGAAAGGATGAAGTACTACTTCACGTAAGTCATACATCTATTACTACTAGAAAGGACTTTTGAATAACACTGTTTTATTCAGCATCCAGCCCAGTCACAGGAAGTTTAAAACTACTTCGATAAACTGGAGAAACTAGTTTATTACCATTGGCCTTAAAAGTCCAGTTTCATAAAGGCTTTACATTAATGGAAGACTTGCTTCAGATGTGATGTTGAGGCATTGTGAGCAGACTGATATGACCTATTATGATTCCATTTGCTAAGCACTTAGATGCTGAAAACATCGAAGTATCTGTACTGTGCTCCACTTTTCTCTTTCTGACATCTTTTAGTTTTGAAGTATCTGCTATATATAGTCCTGGAAATAACTGTTGATTGAAACAAAGATGTGATGATTCTAATCAGTTTTCATAGTTCAAGATTCTTAATTTAATGTGCTTGATATCATTACATTTTGTGCTGGGAACTTTGAAGAATCATGAGAATTTCCCACATGTACATTTTCTTTTGAATGACTTAGTGAAGTCAAGAAAATTACTTCATTTGGCCTGTGGACAAAACATTTGATTTCAACATCTTACTGACTAGAGAACTTGTCTATTAATAGTTGCCTAAAGATGTGGCCTGTGGATTCTGATCACTTCCTACTAGTAAATTACACAAATAGGTGTGGTATTTATATCTGAAATTTTGCTGGATGCCTGGTATACTTTATGCAAATATTTTATTAATGAAATGGAAATGCTCCTGCAAAGCTTCATGATGCAGATTGTCCATCAGTTGATCAAGTGAGCTTACAAACAAGTAGTTCTGTGACCCAAAGCAGCATGTTTTTTTTTAAGACTGATCATTTAAGAATGTTTTGTCTTTTGTAGAAGAAATATGACTTTTATACAATAAACAGTTGGAGAGGTTCTTAAGCACCCAATAACCTGGTTTTAGAACATAATATCCTAAGTTGGAAGGGATTCAGAAGAATCATCGATCCACCCCCTGGCCCTGCCCAGGACACCCCAACAGTCCCACCCCTGTCCCTGAGAGCGTTGTCCAAACACTCCCTGAGCTCTGACGGCCTTGGGGCCGTGACCACTGCCCTGGGGAGCCTGGTCAGTGCCCGACCACCCTCTGGGGGAAGAACCTTCTCCTGATACCCAGCCTAAACCTCCCCTGACTCAGCTTCATGACATTTCCTTGAGTCCTGTCACTGGTCCTGAGAATGAAGTCTGTCTGTCAGCAGGGCACTGAATGTAGATGGTTGCTATTTGACAAAGCTTCCTATGACCATGTACTAACTCTGATTGGATGTGGCAAAAGTTCAAAATTGTGACAGAATTTAAAGTTACTGTATCTGACAAAAGAGAAAAAATTGGAACTAGGAACCAGTTCCTAGTTTTGATAGATGTATGCTAGCTGTTTTCAGGTTGGTGGCAGTAAGTTACATGTGTAATATGCTCTACCTGGTTTGTAGCTGTAACTGTGATGTATGGATTAAAAAAAAAAAAAACAAACCACAAAAAAACCCTCAGCCCCTCTCAAGAAACAACAAAACAATCTCCCCTCTTCCAAGAACTTGTGAAAACAGAAGCAAATAATGCAGTGATATAAGATACACACTTTTGTATTTTTATTCTTATAAGGTTATTTACTGGCTCTTGTTGGCCTCTAGTTCAGTCTGTGTTATTTAAATTCTAATATATGAATTATTTGGATTGAATTCATGTTCGGGGCCATGGTGTTGTATGTATTGATGTACAGCCTTGAATGTGAATAATTATTGTAAACTATATTTTACACCTTTTTTCTGGCTTTATTATATAAATTTTCTATCGGTCGATGATTTAATCATATCTCATAATTTAATGACTGTTTATTCTCCTCTCGACAGATCTCTGTGCTGTAGATGTGTAGTTAGTGACTGGATGACGGATTTCACATATGCTTGGTAGTCTGTAATAAAGGCATGTAGGGTCCTGCGCAGCCTCCGCCTCTTCCTTCCGGTGGGTCGGGGTGGGGACAGGGGTGGACTCGGGGCTCGGGGGCCGGGCCGGGGCCTCTCCCCGGAGAGAGGGAGCAGGGAGCGGCTCCAGCGGGCGCTTCCGGGGGGCGGCGCGCCCGGGGCTGGGCCGGCGGGGCGGCCCCTTCCGGCGGCGGCGAGGATGGCGGCGGAGAACCACTGCGAGTTCGCGGTGCCCGTGGCCGGCGGCCTCGGCGCGGGCGGGCCCTGCCGCCGCTGCAGCTCCGCGCCGCCGCCCGGCGCCGGGCCCGGCAAGTGGGTGCGGCTGAACGTGGGGGGCACCTGCTTCCTGACCACTCGGCAGACGCTCTGCAGGGACCCCAAGTCCTTCCTCTTCCGCCTCTGCCAGGCCGATCCCGACCTGGACTCGGACAAGGTGAGCGCGGGCCCCGCTGCGGGCCCACTCGCATGTCCTCGCCCCGGGCCCGCTGCCCTGTCCCCGCGGTGTGTCCTGTCGGGCGGCCGCCGGTGCGGACGGAGCGCTGGGCCCGGCGCTGCCGTCAGGGGCGGTGGGAGCGGCTCCGCCGCCGCGAGGGCAGTTTCTGAGGGGTGCTGTTTAACGAGTCCGTGAGCTTCAGGGGAGCTGAGGTGTAAGGTGGGCTGATGCCGTGCGAAACCATTGGGTTCGTGAATAACGCAACTGCTCATAAATACAGCAGAGAGCACGGGATCGTTCATACATTTGTGTGACTTTTTATGTTGTCTGACGGGGTTTAGTTTTAGCATTTTAGTGGAATATCTATGTCCACTAACATTTTGTTATTTTTGCACTGTCATCACTCACTTGTTCAATTTCAAGAACCTAATCAAAGTACTTTTGATAATAACTTCTCACTTGGGCATGGCATTCTGTCTTTCAGCAGTTCTTTGAGAAAAACGTTACGTATTCTGCATAGATTGCAAATGGTGGGTGATACTGAATATTTCAGTATTCATTCTGACTCATTTTTATTAGGGAAAGAAGAGTAATTATCTATGGTGTGGTATGCAGTAACAGATTAAAAGTATTTGTATATAGTGCTGGCTCTGGAAGCAATTTTGGAGCAGCATGAACAAAAAGGTTTTTCCAGTACAGTACACTTAGGGAAAAGAAAGGAACAGCTTATAACCCTTGAATATATAACCAACAGATTTAAAATAAAGAGTTGCTTTTAATATATGAATTTTTAAAATTTTAATTTTTTAAATATATATGACTTTTTTTTTTTCAGTGAGACTTGTAGTAGATTTCATTATTTTCTCAAGTATAACTTCCAGGAAGGATATTTCAACACTTAAGAAGGTAGGGAACAGGACCTAGTATTCCAGATTTAGAGAAAAAAACCCAACTTCAAATGTAGTGGTGTGAGAGTGAGTTTTTTTGTTGTTGCCTTTGATTTGGCTTGAGTGTTTCTGGAGAGCTTAAACTAACCTATAAAAGCAAATTTAAAAATGTAGATGACTTGCTGATAGGTCAGAAATTGTCTTTACTTGAGAGAGTAAAGGTTTAAGGTTTTCTTAAATAAAAGATAAGGCACTGCCATATGCCCTGGCAGATTGGAAGGCCAGCCATGTCCTAGGGGGCATCAGGCACAGCATCAACTGCCAGGCAAGGGACGGGATTGTCCCACTCTGCTCTGCACTGGGGCGGTGTCACCTCAAGTCCTGGGCACAGTTGGGGCACCACAATATCAGAAAAATCTAAACCTCTTAGAGGGCATCCAGAGGAGGGACACAAAGATGGTGAAGGGTCTTATGGGGAAGCCATAAAAGAAATGGCTCAGGTCACTTGGCTTGTTCAGTTGGAGGAGACCTAGGGAAGACCCCATAGCAGTCTGCAGCTTCCTTACAAGGGGCAGCACTGATCTTTGCTCTCTGTGACCAGTGACAGGACCCAAGGGAATGGCTCGAGCTGTGTTAGGGGGGATTAGGTTGGATATCAGGAAAAGGTTCTTTTCCCAGAGGGTGGTTGGGCACTGAACTGGCTCCCCAGGGTAGTGGCCATGTCCCTAAGGCTGACAGAGCTCAGGGAGCGTTTGGACAAAGCTCTCACAGACAAGGTGGGATTATTGGGGTGTTGTGGGCGGGGCCAGGAGTTGGAAGGGACTCACAAGGATCATTGATCCAGCTCAAGATATTATGTGATTCTGTGATTTCCTTAATGGTTGCTACTAAAAAGAACTGAAAGGCTTAAAGAAAAGGACCACGTTTTCTTTCTAGCTACCTTCAGGTGCTAATGTTGAGTAGGGTGGAACAGCCTGTCTCTTAGTGTCAGATGTTTCCAATTGCAACAGAGAGAAGATTAACCTTGGCACTCCCTGAGGCAAAACTAGTGTTTAATGGAATAAGATGCTGACACAGGTTCTCTGAATTTAGTGTGTGTCACAATGTCACGCACAACTTTGTATTTGAGACTTCTTGGGAATCGTTTCAGCAAACGAATGGTAGTAGTCATACTTACTCTTAACAATAGGATTTGTTTTCTGGAATATTTAAATCTTGGTATAGAATTGAATTCATAAAAATAGACAAGCAGAGCCTTGCTCACCTTTTCATCATTGTTTAATTTAATGCTTTTACTGCATTATTTCCAGATATTTTCCTATTTCAACACCTTCCTACTTTAGCTATATACCAGTTTTTCTTTTTCAAACTGGTCTACCGGTCTTTTAATTTTCCCCTAAGTGAGGAGATTGTCAGGTTTTCTTAATAAGGCTTTGGCAACAGTATTCATGCTTGATTTTTAATGCCTTTCTAAAGTTAGATGAATTTGTACTGAGGTAGAATCTGTCGAGGAAGAAAGCAAGCAAACACTTAATATTTTAGAAAAATCAAAATCTTCCTGGTAGCACATCCTTAACTGCCATTAGTAAGAAATATCTAAATTGTAGTCATTATTCTAAGAAATAACTGAGATAAACTGTATTTGTCCGTGACATTTCTAACTAGTTAGATGGGTTGTGTTACTGATGTAGTTTTGATAAGTACTGGCAGTCTGCTGACACTCAAAGTTTTTAGGCCACATAGTTTGTGAAAAATGTGTTCTGGGCAACTAGCTCAAGATTTAAAAAGCACACAGGGTAGGGGAGACAATTATTTTTAAATCCAGATTTAGTGCCAAATATTACTATATTTCTGTGCATATTGCTGCCTTTAGCAGAACTTGTGCTTGCTCAGGATATGTAAATGATGTAATTTTTTAAAAATACTCATGTTAGAGCACACAACTTTGAGCCAAGAGCTTGGTGCTGTGGATTCTGAGTGTAACCATTCTGGAAAAGTATTGGTCTCAGTGAAGATAATTAACTGGAAATAAATTTATGACATTTCAAATACTGTTTTAATACAGTTCCTGGGGAGACTGTTAAATGGGACTGGGGAGGCGTATGTATTTGGTCCACCGTTTATGAGTCCTGCTGGAATCCTGAACCGGACTCTAGTGTCCACAATTCAGCGTCACAGTGGGGTAGTGGGTAGTCACAACATGGAACATAATCTGGCAGAGAGTTATAAAGAACAAAACTGTTTTGTTGGCAAGGAGTTTAAGGAGTGACTTCTCAGTCCAGAATTACATAAATGGAGACTAGAAATCTAATAGTGAAGCCTGTTCAATCTAGCAAAGGTATTGTCAGATCCTCCTATTGAATTGTCAAACTATAGATGTCCATGCTAGAAAGCACATAATGTTAACAGTGACAGTAATTATTTATTGGAATGGCTTGCACTAAAAGGTTAGGTTTCACCACTTCTTTCTAAAGGTTAAATTTCACTGTAAATAAATTGAATCCTATGAGTGTTTTAAACTAAGATCAGGGTAAGTGTTCATTATGATTCCTTTGAACCTCAGTCTCTATAATTGAAGTGGAAATGTTTGCAACAGGAATACACGATCATTTTAAAGTTTTGGGCAATATATTTCAAATTCTTTGAAAATACTTGTGTATTGCAGAACTAGGTGATTGAAAATTTAAGAGCAAGTTATTAGGGCTTCCTCTAAAATTTCATGGTGTGGGAGAGTGGTGATAAACAAATGCAGGTTCACTGTACCTGATCAGTGCTTTCTTTTAAATGGTGTCCTTGTAAGTGCATGTGGAAAAGGTTCTAGGACTTACGGACAAGGAAGGAAAAACTTGCTAGAGATGTAATGCAAAAGTAGAACTGGGTAAAGATACAAACACTTGTGTGATTAATTAGCATTTTTGCTTTGTGTTTTCTTGTGAAGAGTGTCAAAATTTGCATGAAACACCTCTGGGGTCAAAACCTGGGGTGATGTGACTACTGAATAGAGAGGAAATGAGTTTCAGCTGCTGTTCTGGTAAACATTATCACCTGTTTGCATTATATATGTATGTATATATACACAAAAGAGAAAACTGAAATCTTATTAGAATATAGATTTGTCTGACATTTGTGGTATTTGCCTGAAGTTCGGGAAATGTCTTTAAAATACCCACACTAGTTGTGTCAGTGAAGATTCAAACTTGCTCGAAGCTTGTAGAAGCCTAATTTACTAGTTAGCAGAGGAAATTGCTTAGCAGGGACACCAAAGTCTATTAATATTTAAGCTAGCAGCTTAAAGCTAGTTATGTCTGTGCAGACTGTAACTATGTATTTAAACTGCTAGACCACATGTTAACTGCAATTTAATATTCTTATCTTAAAATAAAACTTTCTTTTAGAAAATGTCAAAATGCTAATTACACAAGAGAATATAATGTGCTTTCATGTACATGTGGATGAAAACAATCCTGATGATATTCTGATAGACTTATGACCTGTATTTTGAGTGTTCTAGGTAGAACAGATAATTACAATTCTGTGTCAGATTTTATTGGATTTATGTTTACATAAATATCCTTAAAGATCTAGTGTAATCGGCTTTTCTTAGTGATTTCAACATGAAGTGCTTAGCATACATTGAAGGATATTCGGGCAGCTCACTCTAAAGGAGGAGTGATAAGGCATTTTCTATAGGTAGATGCCAAGGAAGTAAATTTTGTGCCCCTTTTGCCTGTGCATTTTTTGCATATGGTTACAATATTCTTTACTGATTGGTTTTCCTTTTAGGGTGATTCCCTGCTGCTAGTCTGTAGCAAACCTGAGCTGTGAGGTCAGTGTTTAAGACACACATCTTCCTCTTTGGGATAATGTTAATTAATGCATGTTTTCCATATCTGTAGACATGTTTGGATAGGCAATTTTTGCAGAGAATTTACATGCTGAAGTGAATGCTATTGACAGAATTTGTACTGCACACTGTTAGCATTTGCCAGAGTTTATAAGTATTGATATTTGCTAATTTCTGTTGCATCATAAATTATAAGACTTATGTGTGCCTTCTTCTTTTTTATTATTTTTCAAGACATATTATTGCCTGAAAGGCTTCACAGAGTAAACAGTGACCCTGCTGGAATTGCGTTTTATTCATACGTGACCTCTCATAAGGTGGAAGTTTAAAGAGAAGGCCCGACATAGCTTCTTCCCTTTGTGGTTATGTTGAAAGCTTGTTTAGTGTATAGAAATCTACTTAGGGAAGGGTAATTTCAGATATTGTAGCCCGTGTAAAAAAAAAAAAAAAAAAGAGGAAAGAAAAGAAATGTTGAAGCCTTTTTTGCAGAGAGTGAAGTAGCCGCTGTTACTTGAGATTTCATTTAGAGCTTTTAGTTACTTTGCTTCCCGGACTGACCTCTCTGTCTCTGTAGTGCTGTAGAGCTAGTGGCCAGTATTGCTTCATAAGGTGATGTGAGCAAACACTGCAGTGTAAAGAATTACAATAATCTTATTGAACAAGGTTATTTCTAGAGATGTATTTCTGTTAACTGGGAGGACTTCCAGTTTTGTAGGCCCATATGTTTCTTAATTCAGTTCAACTGATGACCAAGTACTGTGCTTTTCTTCTTTAAAATAGTGTTTCTTTTTATCTGTTTTAGATTATACTTTTCAACTTCACTGGTTTCTGTTCCTGTACTGAATAATACATTTCAGTTTATAATTCATACAGTTGTCAGCTAATTTAATTTGTTCGGGTTTTATCTGTAGATTGTTCATTCTTGAAGTGTTTTGATAATGTAAATGTATTTAAATATGACCTATTAAAACTATACCATCTTATGCACTTTGTCTATCTGCTGGTTTTGGCGCATAGCCTCGCTTCTGTGAGACCTTGAGTTTAGATCAGAAGAAATTGTGATTAGACTTCATCAAGCACTCTCTGATTTGAGTGCAGGTTAGCTGACATCATGTTTTAATGTATTAAACATTTTCTTGGACAGTTAATTTTATATAAAATTAAACACCACTTCTTCTAAAATGACAGTGTGTCTAAGTGTGTACAGCATTTAGCTTGTAATTATAGAAAGGTGTTTGTGGCTTTTGTAGTTCAGGCTGTGGTCTTTCTACATTCTACCAGCCCCAGCTAGACAAGTGCAGTTATTCAGAAACTAAATCTGTGTACCTGAAAATATATCCACCATCTTTTTTCCAATTAAACATTTTTTGGAATTCTAGGTCCTTTTAAGTAGAAAGAGTTTTCAGGTATCTGAGTTCAGTAAGAAAACCTTTATATATATGAACATTAATGTTCAAATGCAAAGGATTGGGTCGGTAGAATTTTTTTTTTTCATGTGGAACAGCAAGTATCACTAGCATATGTGGTTTCCAGGGAGAATGATTCAAATGTAGCTAGGATTGTTAGTAATGATGCTTTTTTGAGTATCTCCTGTAAACTACTAGAATATTAAGAATAAGTAAAATAAGTATTTGGGGTGCTGCCACATCTTCAATATGTATCGGTGAGATATTTATTGTGCCAAAACCTAAAGGATTAATACTGTCAGTGATCCACTTGGTAGTAGAAAGAAGCAGTAGATCTGTTAGACATCTGTCTTTTGAATCTTCCTTAGACCTCTGACCAGCATGAAATATATCAGTACTGCATTGATCACAGGGGTTCACACATAGATTCTAAATAACATAGGAGATACCAATTTTGCCTCTTTATCTCTTTGTCAGGAATATCAGCTCTGGATTTCTTGATGTGTTTTGCATTTCACAAAACGCTGTAGTCTGTTCAGTAAACTGAGTGTTAGTTAATTTGATCTATTCCTTCACTGTCTGCACGAGGTAGGTAGAAACTGCAACTTCAGTGTATGTTTTTTTAGAAGATGCACATATGACTCTTGCTTGGTACATGGCAGTTCTCAGTACCCTGTGAGGTTTTGTACATTGGAGCTAAGACAAAACTAAATGTTTTTAGAACAAAGTGTTGAGGTTAAAAAGAAGTAGATTTGTTTGCCTTTAATTAAAAAAAAAAGAAAAAGGAAAAACTGGTATTTGATCCTTGCTAGAATGTAGCCTTTGTTCAGGTTTCCAAAAAAAAAAAAAATTCCTCATTTTAAGTGTTAATTTTAGCCTTTTCACTTACTACTTAGATCTTTCATGCTAACAATGTTGATAATCTTTGATAAATGGTTGTGGGTGATTAATCAGGTAAGAGAAGTTGTGTATTACATGATTTGAGTGATCAGTCTTGTAAAATTACAACTACATTGTTGAATTCCTTCCTTTTAATGTCTTTAATAAATTTGGCTTTAATCGATTTGGCTACATCTGAATATCTGCTTGCTATTCAGATGCCAAGCTGAATATTTTCTTGCAATTCTCACTTGGATAGTCAAATCATTGTGGGTTTTTTTGGCTTGTTTGTTTGGGGTTTTGTGTTTTGTTGTTCTTGTTTGGGGTTTTGTTTGGTTTTTGTTTGTTTGTTTGTTTTTTCTAATCTAGGATGAAACAGGTGCCTATTTAATAGACAGAGACCCAACATACTTCGGGCCAGTGCTGAACTATCTGAGACATGGGAAACTGGTTATTAACAAGGACCTAGCTGAGGAAGGTAAGACATTCCTAAATATCCTTTATTTGTTTACTTGTCACTTGCTTATTATTTTCACTGCTTTTGAGTCATCAAAACTAATTTAGAACTAGATGGTAAATCTTAATCAGTGTAGCATTTCAATCTGTTTCAAGCAAAGCTGATAGGCATCATGCAGTTATAGTATGTGCTGTTAGCTGAGTGTTTTGAGTATGATTCCTATTTTCACAACCCCTGTAAGTATTCAAGCAGGAGGGGAGATGGCTTTTATTGTATAGTCTTGTATCTTTCATTTATGACTGTGTGAAATATTTGGGTTTAGTCCTCTTCAAGCAATAGAATGCTGCCTGGGAAACAAGCTTTAGAAGATGTAAATAAAAGTAAGAGTGAAGTTCTGGGATGTTCACAACTGTGGAATATGCTCTTGAAGACTAAACTCTGCTCTCAGCTTCTTCCTCCCTGTCCCCAGTTTGTAACAATTTTACCCTAATGGAGGACTGTTTTAAAACATATAGTACTAAAACTGTATTGATAAGGTATTGAAGAAAGTTTTCAAAGAGAAATACAATTTAACAATATTAGCAAGAAATAGTATGAAATATAATTTCCATGTGCATTGTTAAGCACAAACTACATGTGGAGAACAGGTAAGACTTGAAGCAGTAACGTCAAGCTTTTGTTTCAGGACCTAAGATCTCAAATGACAGGAAGAAAAATTTCCTGCATACTATCAGCTGCAGAGCTTTTCAGTAGGATTATTTGAATTTCTCTTTTGCATTCCAGCCAGAGGCAGGGCCTGAGCTATGGTGGTCTATCAGTCTGCTATGGAATGGTATCTGTGCTCCTTTTTTTGTTTCCTGCCTCATTCTGTATGTGAAATGGCATCTGTTTTCTTTGAGGGTTTTTCGGGACAAAAACATTGAACTACCTGTGCCTGAAGGAGGGAAGAATCATTAGGTTGGTAAATTATCTTATGGGCAAAATAAATAATTTTCTATAGCTGTAGAGAGGATAATCTTAGGAACTGACGATGATTTTGTTCTGGAATCTTTGGTTACACGGTCTTTCCAAAAAATGTTTTCATACTAGGTGTACTGGAAGAGGCTGAATTCTACAATATCACATCACTAATAAAACTGGTAAAGGACAAAATAAGGGAAAGAGACAGCAAAATCTCACAGGTGAGGCTGTTTTCTAGTGTGCTTTTGATTATTTGTTCTATGACAAGCACTGGGTGGGTTCCATTCGTTTTTTATGTAACTGCTCATTTCCCCAGTAAGATAGTGAATGGCTGCCTCCATCTCTGGATGAGCTGGAACCCTTAGTATACAAAGATTAATATTCTTAATTTCTGGCTCCTGCCAGTCTACTTGCAAAGTTCACAAATCTTGTTCAAAACATGAAAACCATCTAAATAATTGTTCCAAAATGTGTGGTAACAGTAGAATTTGTCATAATATCATTTCTGCAAGTAGTTATTTTAGAGAACAGCTTTTTTAGAATATGTCTTTCTCATTTGCATTTAAGTACTCGGAATATGACGAGGTTGCCTAATTATGGTACAACTGCTGTTAATGCAGTACGTTTATGCAGCTTGCATACAGATGCTATTTAGCTCCTGTCATACGTTTCTGTAGCAAAGTTAGTTTATTTGTAGTGCTCTGTGCTTGAGAAGACTCTCATAGCAGCTCATGAATATTTCTCCATGGAAGTGAATACAATAGACAAGTTTGTTCTTTAACTCTGCTACTCTGGCCTTCTTTTGTAACTGAGTCTTCATGGAGATATTCCAAACTCATGTTGCCAAATTTCTGTTGAAGTCAGGATGTGGGATCACGGGGTTGCTCTGCTAGCATTTACTAAAGGTCTCAGCTAAAATGGTCCTAGTCATTCATTGCTCTGTATGGGTTCAAGGTGGTGTTGCTTATCATTTCTAGAAAGTAAGGGCTGCTTCAGACAAATCACAAACATGGTGAATTCCATGACCTATTGAGCATCTTATATTTCTTCTTGAAGGTGCCAGTCAAACACGTATACAGAGTGCTGCAGTGCCAGGAAGAGGAACTCACTCAAATGGTTTCCACAATGTCCGATGGCTGGAAATTTGAGCAGGTAAAAAACCCATATGGGTTTTTATAGTTACAAAGTCTTCTAAAAGATCAGTTTTGTGAAAAAGGAGTATAAAATAAATTCTGTGCATCTTTTGTCACTCAGTCATTTTCAGAATTTGCATATACATACACAGTTAAGTTAAAATCTGATATTTGCGTTCGTATTTGTCATAGAACAAAAAAATGTAGCTTTCCAGGAGGTAAATTGTGCTGACTTTCTTTAAAAACATCTGCATCATGTCTGAAATGTAATTCTTCAGTGTCTACACATGAGCAGTTGAAGGGTGAATCAACCAAAATTATCCAATACAAGTTTATGTGAATGGTAAGTTAGATATAAAGAGCTCTGGGTAAAAAGAGGTGAGCTTGGAAGATAAATGTTTGTCAGGCCCAAAGAGTGATTGTTCAGATAAAAAACTGATAGACATAGGAGGGTGGACTTCACCAGTGTGGATGTGGAACTGGATAGCTATGAGCTATGTGAATGTTCTTTGCACTGCATAAAAATAGCTTTGTGTGTACATTTAAGAATGCATTGTAAAATTGCAAGGAGATCTTTCTGTTATTTTTGCTGATCTCTGTAAATAAGAAACTAACTGTACAACTCCGTCATCCTTCACATTCCTAACCTAGAAGAATATTTAACTGCACTGGAACAATGAATTTGTTAACTCTAAGACACGAGTGCTCAGCCGCTAGCACCTTTTTCAGTGCCTGATGCCCACTGTAGGAGAGATTGGAATAAGCACAAGTCCGTTATCCTGTGCAGTCTCACTCTAATAATACAACAAAGCAACATTTTTAAAATGTTCAGGACACAAAGGTAAAAGAGAACATTTTGTTTATATTTGATGAAATGTGTAAGGTGCTGGTGTCATGGAGACATCCTGACCAAGCAAACTCAGCGAACACAGAGACAGCTTTTTATTCTTCACTTCTCTGGCTCAAGTATTACCAGGTCTGTTTGCCATGCTATGAGGTTGTTGTTGAAGTTCCTGTAAAAAGCTCTCACTTAATGCACATGACTTTTTTGACCAGTGCATTGACAAAGATTTTTCAACATTCTTCTTTGTCATGAGAAACTAGCTTTCATTACAAACAGAGATTCTTTACTTTTTAAAAGATTAGATGATACCATGGCTTTTACCTATCATGAAACCTTACAGTCTTTGGGGATAATGTATTTGGGAGTAATACTGGTTTGACAGTGCAGCTTCTGAAAGAACTGTTATAATCTCTTTTAGAACTGGAAAATTGCAGTGGTTTTCTTGAACATTACACCCTTGTTTCATTCAGCTTTCTTGCCGCTTCCTCCCTCTCCCATGTTGCACTCTTTTAGACACATAGTTTGAAGTAAATAAACACAATATCTGTATGGTCTTATAATACTCAGCATCTTATTGCCTCACACTAGGCCATTCCCTTCTTTGGTTGTATTGGAGACCTGCTTTTAGCAGACAGCATTCACTTGCAACAGAATTAGTATATTCTGTATAATGTGAATAGTTTTATTGTGAAGATCTGAGAACACTGTAGCATTTCTGTAATTTTTTATCTTTTCTAAGCCCGTGTTGTTCAGCAGCATGCTTCCTTCAGAAGTTTTTGGGGTGGTATCCACCACACTTTGTACCTAAAAAACACTGAAATCATCAGCTTTTTCAGAGGAGTGATATTCCTATGGATTGGGAGTCCTTGTGCTGTGAGCCCCATGCAAAATATGTCTAAGTGGTTGGTTTTGATCAAAACCATTTCTTTCCCCTTAACATTTCAAAATTTTATTGTAAAATATGATTGAATGTGGTAATTAAATAGGCGTGGAAGGTGCTGAACTTTTGGTGCACTTATGCAGATGTTTTGATGCCCTTTTCCAAAGAATGTGAGGAAAAGCTTTGCTAGAACAGTACAGTTATGTATTACTCCCAGTTCAAAATCTATTACCAAAAGTTATGGTGCCCTACTTTTCTGATTTCAGTGGGTTATTTTGTAGAGGATTTTTTAGCTTCAATTGTTACTGCTCCATGCAATCAGAAAAAGCCAATATTTTGGCAATACAACATAAGAAACTTTGGACTATACAAAATTGGTACATACAAAGGCTTTAGACAGCAGTGGTGTTGGTCATGTCAATTTTAATGATCAGTGTAACCTGATTCTGTCACCATAATGCACGTTCACAGTATGAGGAGGATGATATTTAGCTGCTGCCTTCAAAATATTCACATAACAATATCAGGATGTATATAACTTCACTGTTCATGGGCCTTCTTATCTATGTCAATCTCCAGTTTACTCAGAATAGGCAGTTGTTGTCTAGCTCTTCACACTTCATTTAAAGCTCTGATCTTTCTCAAGGGCACTGACAGGTATGCTTTAATTTAAATGGGCCAGGAATTGCTATGTATTATTAAGGTAAAATATTTTTTATAGTAACAAGTTGAGAAATTTAGCTGAGGTTATGCTGAGCTTTGAATTATTAGATGGTTGGCAAGTGTGACCAGAGTTCTTGGTAGTGTTTTTTATGGGAACAAAACAGACATTTTTTTTTCCACTCCAGTTATTTTATTGGATCTTCTGTAAATTACCCCTTCTGAAAGCAACTTAGAGCACCCAACTTTTTTTCCTCTAGTTGACTTCTTATGTTTCCTTAGCTGTATTTTATCAGTATTTGGAAAAAGATGAAGCTCTTTCACACCCAGGCTTGATATATTGCTTTACATAACACCTTCCAGTCTTATATCCACGTTACCTTCTCCACTTGACAACTATGACAGGGAAATAATGCTTGCTTTTGTAATGCACTGAACTTTGTTTATGTTTTTCGGAGTTGGCTACACCACAGTGATATGGGGAGTTTTCTGTCTTACTGTCAGTAACTCTTAACTTCCCTTGAAATTACAAAGGGCTTTGCAGCTGCCACAATAATTATTTTATGTGGAAATGAAGTTGTAGCTTGATAGCAACCTGTTCTAGTGGCAAGTAAATATAACCTAAACATTTCAGCTCATCTATTAATTGTACGATTTGGATAATGGTATGTGCTTCAGCTTTACAAAGGTTTCTTTTTGTGTTTTGCTTTGATTGGTTATTTCAGCTTGTCAGTATAGGTTCCCAGTACAGCTGTGGCCGGGCTCAGCAGTCAGAGTATCTGCTGATAGTGTCACGGGAAGTGAAAGGGGAAGAGAGATGCTTCCAGAAATGCTGCAGTGAGGTGTGTCACACCATTCTTTTTGCCCTCACACTGATATGCTTGGCCTCCTTGCGTTTCTGCTGCTTTCAAATCATTCCACTTTATTCCTGGATGTACAGCACGTAGTAATTTGTGTGTATTTGTGACTGGTTTTTATTTATATTCACAGTATTTCATTATACATTATGAATGTTCATATTGTAAAAATAATAAAAAAAAACCAACTAAACAAAAATTCCCTCATTATTCAGTTAAATATTTTTCTTAAGAAGGGTTCTTACCTTCTCAGTAGGTAACTTCTTTTCCTTAAATCTTCTTCTGAAGTTGGCAGCCTTTGATCCATACTTGTTAACTAAGAGAGGTACAATTTAAACCTTACGAACCCTGTAAATACATTTTTGAGTTCAGTGGGTTCAGAAGGGGACATTTCTGTGTTATGGTCAAACTGGGATGATGATTATTTCATCCACCAAATAGCCAGTTAAGTTTTGAGTTTGAACCCTTTATTTTTGGTAACTCAAAACTTAGCTGTTTTTTAGATGGCTGAAATATGTTCAAACTGGAATAACAAATAACAGGAATTTTTCATATGGAGGAGTGAGAGGAGAACAAAACAACCAGTTTTAAATTTTGTCTCAAGTGGAAAAAAAACATCCTGGTGGCTTTTTGGCTTTATTGGTTTGTTATTTTGGGTTTTTTCCATCTTGGGACATTTTCTTGAAACCCAAATGGAGAATCCTAACTTCAGTCACTGGTTTTTTAGGCTCATCCTTCCTTCCCCCCTTGTTCTCTTTTCACTGCTTTTTTAATTGCTTTGTTGCTTCTAAATATTCATGAGTTTGGGAAGGATTTTTTGCTAACCAGTAACATTGGAGGATTTTTTGCTTACCAGTCACCATTTTGCTAACTGGTTAGCAAAAAGTCCAGTCCTTTACATATCTGTGCTCTATTTTGAAGTGTCATATGTGAACTAATTTGGGAACCTCGTGCTCTGTAGTATTTTTCATCAATAAAATGCTTGGAGTACTTGTTCTTTTCCTTGCTATATATATGGTTATTCAGTCTGAAAGATGAGTATAACATCATGAAGATAACATGATTGTGAAGCAGTTTGATAAAAGCAGAGCTTTGCCTATGATTTTACATGAACACTTAACCATGCAATTCTGGATTTTAAAACTGGACTGTTACCTCGCTGTATTCCAGAATCTGCTTTTGATGTACCAAGCACTGTCTGTTTCTTTCAGTTGTATAGGTAACATTTGGAATGTGGCATTAATACTATGGGTTTGCAGACTTTCTGGAATAGAATAAGAATTGCAGCTTGTTAGGCATGTGTAGGGTACAGGCAGCATGATGTTATTCATGTGTTCATGTCCTAGATAGCTCAAAGGAAAATTCGGCATCGTAAAATGGAATATGAGGAAGGCAGTGAAGAAATGAATTCAGGTATAAAATAAAAATAATAATGAAAAAAAATCGAAGCTTTGAAGTCTGATAATTACTTTAAGAGTCCTGTAATAAATGTGCTTTCAGACTTGGTATCAGTCAGCAGTGCTGAGTTTAAGAGCTGATGTGTCTGTATCTTTATAAACTTTTGCAAATCCTTTGAGAAGGCAGTAGAACAAATGCATTATAACTCTAAAAGGCATAGAGGCCATTCTTAGAGTCATACAGTTTGATTCTGTAAAAAAATAACGAGGGGAGGATTTTCTTTTATTCTGTCAACTCTTAGTATAATTAAAAAAAAACATAATCTGAAATACTTTGACTATGCATTGTAACATCTGTTTTGCAGACCTCATATTACTCTGATTTGTTGTGTGTTCTTTTTTTTGGGGGGTGAGGGTTGGTGGTGTTGGGATGGCGGACATGGTGGGGGGCAGTCTTCCAGTTTATCAGCATCTTCCTCAAGGTGTTGCCACCAACACTGGGAACAATGGGGTGACTTTTGGAATAGGAATGCTAAAACATTGCTTTATTTCTGATCTTAATTCCTGACACAACGGTTCATTTCTAATCTGCAGTCATTTTCCATTGTTACTTTTTGTGCCATCAACCTTATTGCTGATGCATTTCAAAAAGCTACGATGAAATTTCTAGCATGTTGTTGATACTATGCAAATTATACATTCTTAGCTGCACACATACAAAACTGCTTATGGGAGTATTATGAGTTGGAGTTTTGAGGAACTTGGGTTCAATGTTGCAAAAGTGACTTTATCTTGAAATGCACCAGCTGATCAATAATGGCAAAAAATCATCAGATGTTTCGCAGTCAGCTAAATCCACGATCCTGTCCAACTGGCTAATAAGTATTCAGTCTACCATGTCTTCTGAAAAGACTTATGTGCAAAAGGTTAACTTTTCTGGTTGTATTATGAAGCATTAGCAAGTAATTGTCAACTAAGAACCTGTCAGCCTGGATGAACGAGGATTGATGATTTGGCTGATGTTTGGATTTTGTATGGTATCTACTTTCAGAGAGATCATTTATTTCTTTAGAGGGTCAATAAATAAAGAAGTATTTTTGCTTCTGCTAGTTACCACAGCTTATCTGATAGTGAGCTGTTGCCATTTTGCAAGAAGAAAAGTTGACTGTATACTAATCACATTGTATGCTTGAATTTTATTCAAATTTCTCTTCAGAGAAAGTGGATTTTTTGTGGCTTTATTTAAACATGTATTCAACTTTCAGAACATTTTCTAGCCTTCAAGTGGATTAAAAATGCTGTTTAATGTTCTACCTTTTACCTCAATAATTGAAGCAGTTACTGTATTTGTATTAAATGGTTTGTAATTGCAATATAATATATAGGATAAACTTTATACTACTTTGTTGGGTTTAAAGCCAACTTTACTGCTATTTTTTCTGAAAGTTTGTGTATTATATTTTTTGTTGATAGAGAAGACAATCAAAAAGTCATCTCAATATATGAAGTAACTTTGTGTTGATTTTCCAGCTCTTCAGTAGATTTTCTTAGTCCATGTTGTTCCACTAAGAAACTAGTTACTTTGTAGGTTTTGTGATTCTGTATTACACAAATATGGTATGGTGCAGACTGCAGAGTATCCATCATGGAAGATTAGCTGACTTAATATCTCAAGGTAAATAAATGGTGCCTTTATATTGAGGATACATTGGTGCTTCTAAAAAACCTGGGGTTTTGTAACTTCATAACACAGTTTTGGTGGAAAAAAATGTCTTTAACACATTAATTTTTGATCAGCCTGTGTTCATTACTGACTGTTTCAAGTCAGTAATGTTACATACAGTGTTTCAAGTATGTATTTTGCAGAACTAGAGCAATGTTAGAAGAGAAGGAGGGAGAGAAAGGTTTCTGGTGATCACACTCAGTGTAGTTAAAGTACATCATTTGAGAGTGATGAATTTTGATGGCCAGTTCTGTTCATGGAAGGCTGAGCCTTGTATGCTGTAATACCATCAGGGTCCAAAAACGTTGACATTGCCTAGGCCTGGAATCAGCTTGGTTCTTTGTGCAGACGCAGTGGCTGCTGTTCTCTGTAGCCATCAACTCTGTCCTCCTGTGGAGCTGCTCACTTGGCTGTCTTACCATAGTGCAGGAACATCTGAACATCTCTCTCCTCTCCTTAGAAGTACAAAGAGGCTTTATTTTTTCCTGACAGTGCTATGTGGAAGCTGCTTTTAACCTTCGTCTGACTTCCACTTTCGTTGAGGGAATAATCTTGTCCCTCAAGTACAGACTCTGGATGAAGATTTCATACTGACTGCGTCTTCCATGCTTTAACAAGGCTTTTACTCTCTGTAGTGTTCTGCTAGACTGATGGCAGTACAGTGTTTGTCTTTACACAGATAACCACAGTGTTTCAAGTGCTGTTGCCCTAAAAAACAAGTCAGGCCTTTTCTACGGGGCCATTTCCAGAGCACTTTAATGATACAGTAGCGATTGTGGAATATTGGCCTCATCGTATGTGTGCGATGATTTGGTAGGTGGATTCAATATACTTTTGGTAATGACATTTAGATACGGTATCTCTGCAACTGGTTGATTTTTAGGATTGGATCTGTGTCAGTGGTAATAGCACCATACATTATCTTGTCATGCTTTTGAAACAAAACTTTAGTATAAGTGAAACAGCTGCATCTGAATTGATTCTCTCTTGGAAAGGCAGGCTATGTAAAGCTTCTAGCATTAGGTAAGTGCATGGTCTGTAAAGTAAGACAATTTCTGCCATTTGATAAACATCTGCTTAAGAGATAGTACTGATATTGAGTATATCCTTTCTCAGTAAATTGTCATTTATCATTCAATATAGAGACTTGTAGAAACTTGTAAATTCATCACATTTCATTATACATGGCTTCCGCTTGTAGCGCTTCCTTAATTAACTTCCTTGTAGCGGTACATACGAATTTCAGATGTTAATTGGTGTCCCACCATGCTGTGTCTTGCTGTTTTCCAATCAAATGCAAATTTTGTTTTTGTCCATTCAAAATATGTTTTAATAGAAATACCATTATTCTGTAAGTGGTGGTGGGGATCTCTTCAGCTTCCTGCATGCAGGCATTTACATGTTAAATCATCCATGTTAAGATACCATATACAAACTTTTAAAAATTAACTTTGAAGGATAGGAAGGTTCCCAGTAAATAACAGAAACAGAACAGGCTGCTTCTCCACTGGCCTGCCTCTGTAGCCTTTTCTTTCACAGTATAATCATAACTGTAAATCATTAATTCTGTAATTGTTTAAAAAGAAAAGCTGTGTTTATCTTATCATCAGTGTCAGTGTATTTGTCAACATCAAAACATATTTGCATTGAAGTGGAGAATTGTGCTTCAGGCACAACCAACAGTGAAGAGTGAGGATTGTTTTTACTAAAGGTGAGACTTTATGGGATTTTATTTTATGTGGAAATGTAATTGACTTTTTTTTTTCATCTTTCAGCTGGTCAGTATTGGTTCTTCCTATAACTATGGCAATGAAGATCAGGCTGAATTTCTGTGTGTTGTCTCAAAGGAATTGCATAACACTCCATATGGCACAACCAGTGAACCCAGTGAAAAAGCAAAGGTAAGTCGCTAGACATTGGACTAAAAAAGCGATGTTGAATTGGGTGGGCTTCACAAAGTCATGCTAGATCTACCTCTGTTCTGGACCATTATTTAATTGCCTTTTTCCTCCTCACTCGTGACTAATTCTCTGTCCATTGTATGAGAGACTGTAAATTGTACAGGTAGCATGCATTAGTTATGCATGCATGGATTATTTAAATACAATACTCTGTACTTTTTCAATACCTGTTTCTTACAGTTGAGAATTTAGGTTTTGTTTCTTATACGTTTGAATGCTTTCTTATTCTGCCACTGGTTCAGTTGAAGACTTTTTTCTTGCTTCACTTCAACTGAAGAAATCTTACTGTCAAGAATGGAGCTTGTAAGATGCTATCTCTGTGAAACAGTCATGTTCAATATGTTATAAGATGGAGGTACTTGTTAGCTTAATGCTTTCAGGGTTCTACTTAATTATCTTTACTTTCTGTAACCAACTTTACAAAAAGATTGTAATGGGCACAGTATCTTAGCATTTTACTCAGTTGTCTTTCAGAGTTTGCACAAAGGAAAATACAAAATCGCAGCTGACTAACAATAAGGCAGAGCAGTTCTGTAATGTAGGTGTATTCTCTGTCATGCATAGTGAACAACTTTTATTTATTGTATTGCCGCATTGTATGAGGAGATGACTACAGGCAAACTGGACACTCCTGTATCAAAAGCTTTTGATTTCATATATGTAGATGGAAAACAATTGGTGAAACATCAAAGGTTGCTTTTTCAAGAATCACCTTTGAAGAAATTAATTTTGAAATAATTGATCTGAGTCTTGGCAGTGAGGCCTCAAATAGATAAAACCTCATTACTTTCTGTGCTGTGTAACATGCTTGTGTAGCTACACATGTGGAGTCATTTTATAATATGGACTATAAAGATACTCCAAGCTTTATGTTGGATTTCTAGTGAAATAAATAATATATGTTCTTTTGTCACTGTTGAGATAAAACTTCCAAAGAATTGTAAAGGATTAATGTAGTCAGGGGTAAACAGTGAACCTAGTACTCTTTTCAAAACCCTAGTCGAGGTCTGCTTTTGCCAGAATGCTTCAGGAAAACTTTGACAAGTTAGAGCTGTGTGGTAGTAATTTAGGACTGAGATACCCACCTGAAATAAACCATGGAATTCTAAAGCCTAATAAACATCTTCATAAGGAATGGTAGTACATCTTCAGGGAATTTCAGAAGCTACCAGAGTTACATTCCATCGTTATATGTAAAAGAAAATATGTGTCAAATGAAAGTGTAAAAGGCTAAATAGAAAAGCTAGTTCAGACTGCAATTCAACTGTGTAAATTGAGTAGCTCTGAGAAAAACTGTCTTAGACCTCTCCATTGCTATGCTGCTTGGTCATTGTCTCAGAGATGGGAGCAGAGCATAATTTGACCAGCGTGATGAGTAAGAATTACTGTTAATTTTGGTTGGCGATAAAAATATTCACTTCTTTTGTCCTGGAAGAATTGAGCTGTTGCTAGCAATTAATAGGCAATACTTGCAGAATAATTTTTATATATTTTGTTTCTAATAGATCAAATTTTTTTTACATAGGTATATGCTGTGACTGGGAAAAAAAATATTTTTTACTTGAGAGGTTTCTGACAACTGTGGTCAGGAATCTTGACTGAACCTCCGGAGCTGTTACACCCATAGTTCCCTCTTAGCATTATCCTGTAGTCTGCAATCTGTTCAGTAGTTTCTGAGTTGGTCTTCATGAAGTTCATGTGACTGAAATTCTGGTATCCACTGATATATTCAGAATAATATGTTTGTGTACTGGGCCTGACTTTTAGATGCCATGATAAAGTCTTCCTAATACTTTTACAGCAGGTTGGGTTAGAAGAAAAAAACCTGCCAGTATGTAATTTTTGTTGACAAGCACTTCAGTTCCAGTTAATAGTCCTGGACTTTCAGAATTGGAAAAAGCATTTTCTGATAGCCATCTAATCAAGCTTCACCTTCATGCCTTCCTAGAGACTTTTTTCTTGTGTTTTCTTAATCAGCACAGTAGGTTAGTAGATGATTCTGTGTAACCTTGTAATTTACCTAAGCAAAGAAAACTGGTCTTGAATGGTTCCAGTAGCTTTTACTGGTAGCTGTGGCACTATCCCACAGGCATTCTTCTCTTTCATATCACTTTATTGACCTAGCACTCTTGGGACAAACGACCAAAACTTGTTCATAATGTCTGCATCCAAAGTTAGATACTAGATACTGGTGAAGAGTACACAGAGTTAAGGTACCAGCTTTACAGTTTTATTTAACTTATCTCTATACTTACAGTCCCTTTTGTTATGTTGCATGGCACTATTGGCTTCTATCTGCTAATTTTAGGACATTTGGAAAAGGAAATTTTCATGAAATCTGTTATGTTTGTTCTTGAAATTGCCAACTGTCATACTTTTTTACTAAGAGTGGGGGTCCCAGGTAAAAGTAAATAAATGTCATTACCAGATGCTTCAGCTGTAAGTGGACTGTACTCTGTTGCAGTTTTGACTCACTTGCAATCTCTTCTTTTCCCTTCCTTTTTGTATACTTGCTGCATGCTGCATGACACTCAGAGTGAGGATGAAGAAACGGATTACGATATGAATGACTCAGATTAAGTGTAAATGTCATGGTGAGCACTAGCTGCCCTAGGATTTTAACCAGATGCTTTTCTGCCCCATCAGTTCCCACCCCCACTAGTGCTGTCTTTTGGCTAGTCCTGGTGGTGTGTGTGTTTGTGATTATAGTTGTAGCATGGTTAGCAAAGGTAGACTTCCTGTTCTGGATTATTGCTGCTTTGACAGAGTAATAAGTGTTGCTTTTACAAACTGTCTTGTGATTCGTTCCTTTAAAGCTTTGCTGAGAAGGAAAGTTCTTCATATAGACTGTAGGGTCAGAATTGCTTTTCATTTTTATTTCACATACACCACCTTTTCTGCCTAATGGGTTTTTTATATGTAGAGGCATCTGATACAGACTCACAGTATACATTTTCAGTAAATGTTTGATTTGGCAATAATTTAGCAAACTTGCCTGAAGTACAGTGTAGTCCAAAGGTGATCTTATCTGATAATTTTGAAATTAATAATTTTTTTAATTGAGATATAGCAAATACAAGTAAATAGTATGATTGTGGTGCAACAGGAAACAACTCTCTGGGGAGGGATTCTTTCCACTGTTGTTTGACATCTGATACAAGATCAAGGTACTTTAAAAGTCACAAGTAGAAGAGCACAAAAAAACTTGCATCTGAAAGAACCTTTTCCTAACGTGTCTGCAAGCACTGCTCATATTTATTGTGCTCTCCAGTGTCTAGAAGATAGCATACCATTGAATGTTTAGTGGTACAGTGTGGGTAGTCACATGAACCTGTATAAATCAAAGATATTTATCATTGCAGGAGATTAAACTTCAGCTTCTCACCTAAACACCTGAATTTTTTAGCTGTAAAGCAGCCTTATATTTATCTCTGAAGTTTGGATAATGTTCCCAAGTATATGATGTGATTCCTGAGGTTTTCCTGTGCAGGGCCAGGATCATCACTTGATGATCCTTGTGTGTCCCTTCCAACTCAGGATATGCTATCAATCTGTGATTCTGTGAAGTTGCTTCACATGGCTGAAGAAAAACCTACATTGTTTTCTTAAGTGATGCTAACAGAAACTACTGCTACAGTAGAACAAGACCTTTTGCCAAGTCTTTAGGAATGGCTGAAGGGAATTAATCAAATCTGAAGCTTTATTGAAAAAAAAGTAAACTGGCACTATGCTGGAATCAAATGTAATATTCTTAAGCTGCCTGAGAGGCAAACATTCCTTAAAACACTGTTCTAGCAGCAGCACCTTTGTTTTCAGTGGGAGGAAATAGTTCTCACGTTCTGCTTCCCTAAGAAGCAATCACACTCGGGCCTCTAGAATTTGAGAGTTCATTCAGCATTGTTTAGAATGTATAAGTCAACTTTGGATCTGGTGCACCTGTAGGGAAAACAGAACAGAAATATGAAAACTAGGGTTGGGACAGTCCGAAGTATGAGTACAGACTGGGTGACAAATGGGTTGACTGAAGAGGACTTGGGAATACTGATGGGTGAAAACTTGGATATGAGCCAGCAATACTTCCAGACTAGAAAATCCATTATCAAGGACTGCAACAAAAGCAGCATGGCCAGCAGGTTCAGGGAAGTGATTCTCCCCCTCTACTCCACTCTCATGAGATCATGCCTGGAGTGCCGCATCCAGCTCTGGGATTCCTGCTACAAGAAAGACATGGACCTGTGAGACTGGGTCCACAGGAGGGACATGAAAATGGTCTGCGAGCTGGAATACCTCTCCTGTAAAGACAGGCTGAGAGAGTTGGGATTTTTTGGCCTGGAGAAGAGGAGGCCCGGGGGAAATGTTATTGCAGCCTTCCAGTACTCAGAAGAGCCTTATGAGAAAAATGGAGAAAGACTTTTTTACTGGGGCTCATAGTGAGAGGATAAGGGGCGATGCTTTTGAACATTGGGTTCAAATTTTTGACCCAGTTGTTTCTGATTGGGTATAATGATGAACATATTCTTTATTGTGAGGGTGGGGAGGCCCTGGCACAGGTTGCCCAGAGAAGTGTCCAAGGCCAGGTTGGACAGGGCTTGGAGCAGCCTGGGCTAGTGGAAGGTGTCCCTGCCCATGGCAGGGGGTGGAACTTGATGATCTTTAAGGTCCCTTCCAACCCAACCCACTCTGTGCTTCTTTGATTTCCCCTTTAGTAGAGATAGAGGTTACTGAAGAAGTAGCAAGCAAAGTGTGTTAAAATATTGCCTAATATGCCTAGTATGTTAAAATATTGCCTACTGAGTTTACTGCTCAGTAAAGTGTGCGAAGTTCAGTGTCCAGATCTGGCTTAGCTTTATCTTATTGCATGTGCTCCTGACGCTACAAAAAATAGTTCCAAGTCTATTAATCTTGTAAGTACTTTTTATCTTCCTGGAAAGAATGCACTCTTCTGCTTCCAGTATTAAATTTGAAAGATTAACAACATTAATAGATTGACTATTATTTTCCAGCTGCACAGGTATTTGTGGCAGCCATGGTTTTGTCTCTGTTGGATACGGTTTCACTTACTGACCACATTTGCTGGTTCAGACCATTAGCCACTATTCTACTCCAGTACCTTGTTCTCAGCTGTGACCAACAGCGAATACTTGAGGAAAGAGTTTTAAGTATGAAGCATTTATGGTATTTACTCCTGATACATTTCCCCACCTTCCAGTAAACCTCAGTTTAGGAATTTTGGCTTCAAGCCTTCATCCAGAAGATTGTATGGAAACTACGATGACACTATAACACCATGAGTCAGTATCAGTGGCATTATCTTCTGTAAGTTTGTCTAGTCCCTTTTGAATTTATTATACAAGCAGTTGCTGAGTAATTTACAGAGGCTGGCTTTTCCTCACGGAATTCACTTGTATCTTTCTTGTAGTTTCATATGAAATGCTTTTTCCTTAGTACTTGTAGTAAATTATCCTCATGAAATAAGCAATGTTTGCATCTAAAATATACCCAAAAGCATGTTGTGTCCCAGGGAAAACATCTTTCTGTATCAAGAAGCAAAAGAAAATGAAGTATCACGAGACTTTTACTTGCAGATTAACATTCTTAAGTACCTGTGCTGAGTATGTTTGAAGCTTTGCTTATGACAGCAG